GGGCGGGGTAGAGAGGGAGGGAGGAGGGAGAAGAGAGTGATATAGAGGGATGTAGAGGGATGGGTGGAAGCGACGGGGAAGATGTTAAAGCTCTCTAAATATTTAATAATTCTAAATCGAAGAATATTAGCCCATAAAGGCTCACATGAGAGGTAGCAGTACCCCAGGTGAGGTGAGGTAATGATTCAGACGGAGGCTGGACACCCAAAGGAGTCTTAGAGACGTCACTAGAAAAGATAGGCTCAACACAAGGAGTCTTGGAGATGTCTCCAGACACAAAAGGCTAATGAGCTATTATGAAGGAAGTTAAGGATAACTCCGTACTCAGTTTTCAAGAGTAGGTAAAGTAGCAGCTAAAGAGTCCTAAAGTGGTAGGGAGAAGCCTGCAACAGCCGATAAAACGCTTCCCAGGAGCTGAAGCTCTACTAAATCAACTTGGTTAGTGTCATTAGGAGAGCACACACACACACACACACACACACACACACACACACACACACACACACACACACACACACACCACATGGAGAACAAGACATTGAACTTGACACCCACATCATCCTACATTCCCCTCGAAACATTCGCTCAGCTCAAGTGTGTGTAAGTGGCCACACGTACCGGATAATCACCTCTTATTTCCGTCTTCCGATTCCGGTACTGTGGGGGACTTGACTAAGGTGCAAAAGTCACCCTGAGGACCGGCAGCCAATGAACACCTGTATTAGGGGAGGGTGTTTGGGGAAGGTGATTTAGGCTCCCCCACCCTAATCCCATCCCTTTTCTGCCCATCACTCCTCCCCTTTTCGTCCTCCCTTCCCTTTCCTGGAAGTAAAATGGTAATTGGGTGATTTAGTTTCTCTGGAGGACTGTACACCTGTAGGGCAATTATCTAGGGAGTTTCTAGTGGCGTAGTTACCCCTGGGAGAGTGTCTGGTGGGTAAGTTACCTCTGGGAGAGTTACCCCTAGTTTATAGATCAAAACCTGATTAGTCAATCAACTAGCGTTAACCAGCCAGCTAGTCAACTGAGCAGCCAGCTAGCCAGCCAATCATCAAACCTACCTTCATCCAACTCCCAACCAACTATAGCCTATCCACCGTCTAGCTAACTAATCAGCCCCCCATTCAACCAGCAAGTCAGCTAACCGCACCCCCATCATCTCAACCACTCTGAATAACAACCAGATTAGTCTCATGCATCCGGCCGTTGCTCTTCTACCTCAAATAACAACAACTCTGGCGGGATTGACGGATCAATGCCTTGGGACGGCGCAATTAAGAGTCGAGAAACTGCGCGACTTCACAAACAGTGTTTCTTGTGTTTATAAAGCTGCCGGTGTGTTGTCAAGTTTGTTTCGTCTTTGTTTTTTTAAGAGGCTGCTGCTTTTATGACTGTTTTTTCTTTATTTTGGGGAATTATTTTAGATTTTTAATTTAATTCGTCGTTATACTGACTCATTATCTTTATCTCTGTCTCGCTGTCTCTGTGTCTCTGTCTGTCTGTCTGTCTCTCTCTCTCTTGCTATAACACACGCTCACCGAGTCTGGCAACACTGCCGCACGGTTCTTATGTACATGTCATCATTGCTGGGCACCCACATGCTTGGCAACACTGCAATATGGTTCTCACTGGGTCTTGCATAGCTTTAATAAGGTTCCCACCTTGTCTGGCATCACTTCAGCAAGGTTTTCATTGGGAGTAGCACTTTATAAGTTGGTATTACTGGGTTTGCTATCACTGAAATGGAGTATTTCATCTTATCTGGTAACGCTGTTGCGAGAATAACCGGTTTATAAGGAAAGTTATGAAGAAATGTGGAGACAGTGACTTTCTCTCCTGAGTGTGGGTGTACTCATCTATTTGTACTCACTTATTTGCGCCTGCAGGATCGAGCTTTAGTTCTTGGACCCCGCTTTTCTATCCGTTGCGGTTGTCTAATGCAATGACTCCTGGTCTATTTCTCTGTCATCGTTGCTTTTACAGTTATGAACGGAGTTAGCCTCTACTATCGATCCGCTCCTTTAGGTCATTCCATTTACTCACTACCCTTACGCTAAAAGAAAACTTTCTAACATCTCTATAACACATCTGAATCAATTAGTGTATGTGTGTGTGTGTGTGTGTGTGTGTGTGTGTGGTGTGTGTGTGTGGTGTGTGTGTGTGTGTGTGTGTGTAAGACAAAAATATATGTAGAAGATATAATAAGAAAAATATATATATACTGGTTAGAAAGGCGGGATCTAAGAGCTATAATAGTTCGACTCTGCAGGCACAAATAATAAATCCACACACACCCCGTAATGAGGAAGGTATTTCCTTCCTCGTAGTGCTGATCACGTCAGCCTCTTGTCGACTGATCAGTCGATTGCGTCGACTCCCGACGGCTCATTGTCACCTTGGCATTTAATTCCTTTACATATACCTGCTCTGTCTCCTGTTGATGCTCGGTAAAAGAAACCAGATCATCTCTTGTAGTATTGGGTCATAATGGAAGGAGAGGAAAAGATAAGCAAAGATATAATTAGATTGGCATATAAATTGAAAGATTGGCAATAGATGGATCATGGCTAAATAGATAGAGAGTGGCAGAGACAGATAGATAGATCGATGGATAGATAGGAAGATGAATGGATTGATAGACAGTCCCCCGTGGCGACGGGGACGATCGCCTGGCTTGCCTGGCTTTTCGCGAGCGCGTTGGCCTCGGTTCGTATCCTGGCCGGGGAGGATTTACTGGCGCCAATCCTTAACTGTAGCCTCTCTTTACCCAACAATAAAATAGGTACCTGGTTGTTAAACGATTTGGCGGGTCGTATTCAGGAACTGAACCCTCTAGTTTTTTTGTTTTTTTTGAGATATATACAAGAGTTGTTACATCCACTAGTACAGCCACTAGTACGCGTAGCGTTTCGGGCAGGTCCCTGGAATACGATCCCCCGCCGCGAAGAATCGTTTTTTCATCCAAGTACACATTTTACTGTTGCGTTAAACAGAGGCTACAGTTAAGGAATTGCGCCCAGTAAATCCTCCCCGGCCAGGATACGAACCCATGACATAGCGCTCGCGGAACGCCAGGCAAGTGTCTTACCACTACACCACGGAGACTGCAGTTCGTTTAGCTAAGCAAATAACAATTTTTTGACGCTAGTTACAAAATTATTAATGTTATATATATACATATACACATTTTATCATAATACATATATATATATATATATACATATATATATATATATATATATATATAATATATATATATATATATATATATATATATATATATATATATATATATATATATATATATATATATATATATATATATATATATGTCGTACCTAGTAGCCAGAACGCACTTCTCAGCCTAATATGCAAGGCCCGATTTGCCTATTAAGCCAAGTTTTCATGAATTAATGTTTTTTCGACTACCTAACCTACCTAACCTAACCTAACCTAACTTTTTCGGCTACCTAACCTAACCTAACCTATAAAGATAGGTTATGTTAGGTTAGGTAGGGTTGGTTAGGTTCGGTCATATATCTACGTTAATTTTAACTCCAATAAAAAAAAATTGACCTCATACATAATGAAATGGGTAGCTTTATCATTTCATAAGAAAAAAATTAGAGAAAATATAATAATTCAGGAAAACTTGGCTTATTAGGCAAATCGGGCCTTGCATAGTAGGCTGAGAAGTGCGTTCTGGCTACTAGGTACGACATATAATATATATATATATATATATATATATATATATATATATATATATATATATATATATATATATATATATATATATATATGTCGTACCTAGTAGCCAGAACTCACTTCTCAGCCTACTATTCAAGGCCCGATTTGCCTAATAAGCCAAGTTTTCCTGAATTAATATATTTACTATAATTTTTTTCTTATGAAATGATAAAGCTACCCTTTTCACTATGTATGAGGTCAATTTTTTTTTATTGGAGTTAAAATTAACGTAGATATATGACCGAACCTAACCAACCCTACCTAACCTAACCTAACCTATATATATAGGTAAGGTTAGGTTAGGTAGCCAAAAAAAGCTAGGTTAGGTTAGGTTAGGTAGGTTAGGTAGACGAAAAAACATTAATTCATGAAAACTTGGCTTATTAGGCAAATCGGGCCTTGCATAGTAGGCTGAGAAGTGAGTTCTGGCTACTAGGTACGACATATATATATATATATATATATATATATATATATATATATATATACCTGCCTGTATCTTCTATATGTCAGTTTCTTCAGTTAGTAACTGCACTTGTGGTTGGACTCGAACCTATTGTTGATGAGACGATGTGCATTGAATTTTGTAACAAGCTTATCAAGATTGTAACTTGAGTAGCTAAATGAATTGAGGGGTTCAGTCCCTGAGCCCATTATGTGCCTCTGTAACCCCTTCCACTACCGTCCACAAGATGGGTATGGGGTGCATAATAAATGAACTAAACTAAGCTAACTAACCTGCCAACCGATTTTAGGGACAAGATACTGAATGACACAAACATTATATAATTTATTGTGTTGGGGGACAGGCAGACAGGCATCTACACACGCTCACACACATTCTGTCCGGTGACCAGCACCTTCACTATGCCCTGGTCAGTAGGTTGGTCAGCAAGTAGAATGCATTGAAAGAAGCTGATGAGACAACTTCCAGAAAAAATATGATGACTTCAACGTCAAGGGATTTTATAAGCTCACCAGGTACAAAAAGCTAGGTGGGGGCTTAAGGAGTTAGATCTTGCTTCCATGTAGTCACTGATAACCCAGGAGACCAGTAATGCTTTCCTTAAAAAAGCAACTCTGAATTCTGTTAGAAGAAAACGTACAGGTAAAGCCTTTTTTTTTTAACAGAAGATGTTAAAGTATCTATTCTCAAACTACTTGTATGGACTGCGAACCTTTTTTTTTTAATATTAATTTATTATATATATTTATTCTGTTTGTTATTGTATTCTTTTTCTTCTTTCCAGGAACTGCCTTGCAAAAAAATCACAACTACCATTTTAGAACCTTGTCTGCCATTTCCTCTGCCAGATGATGTTCTAAATGATATTGTCCCCAAAGCTAAAGACTATGCGCTCTTACATGGTATGTGGGGAGAGAGAGAGATATATAGAAAGATAGATATATATATATAGATAATAGAGAGAGAGAAAGAGAGAGAGAGAGAGAGAGAACGATATAGAGAGAGAACGATATAGAGAGAGAACGATATAGAGAGAGAACGATATAGAGAGAGAACGATATAGAGAGAGAACGATATAGAGAGAGAGAGAGAGAGAACGATATAGAGAGAGAGAGAGAGAACGATATAGAGAGAGAGAGAGAGAACAATATATAGAGAGAGAGAGAGAACGATATATATATAGAGAGAGAGAGAGAACGATATAGAGATAGAGATAGCGAACGAGTGAGTGAGCAGAAGAGGAAAAAAAATACAAAGAGGGGGAACACAAATATAACACGCAGAAATTGAGTTGACATTAATGGTGAGAGATTTACATATACACATGCAGGAAAAAAAAAGTATAATTTATCATAATTTTATTATGAATTATAAAACTATTTATTCATAAGAATGTGTACTCAAAGATTATACAAGGACGGGAGAATTTTAGGGGCAAGAGTTACACATTCAATTGAAGCATGAAAGAATGAATGAAGGTTATTTGAAGTTGCAGTCAGGTTTATCTTTATTGTGATTTATTGTCTAGGGTTTCTTATACAGTATATTATATATGCAGTACCAAATTTAGACTTTCTGTTAAGCACCAAACCTTGTTAACAAGTACATGAACATTAATTATCTACATTATAATGATAAATTTGTGTTGCAACACTCAGCCTGAACCTATTGCATATATGATGGTTTTTATCATTATAATGGCCCCTTACATTTATAGCTCTCCCATACAAAACAAATTAAATACCAGTACTATTGCTATAATCATAAATGCAAAGTATGCTTTATACAAGTCTAAATACAACAATTGCTAGCTAACAGCTAAAGGCGTTGCCATCCTAGGCACCTGCCTAAATTCCATTAGATAAGTTAAGCTATATAATGTAAAGTATTCAATATAAAGTGCATGAGGCCTGAAAGTAAAATGAAAAAATGTCATTCCACTGTGGAGTGACATGTATCATAAGTTTTTAATTAACAAATATATGATGAGCTTTAAATATCATATGAAAGTCTATGCTGTGAATGTAATATATTGTGAAACTCCTTTACAGGTGCAGGAATGCGATACAAGACCAGCTATGATTCCGACACATTACAAATGGCTCCATTCTTTCTCTTCCCTTCTGCTTTTCCTAAACGGGAGTTTGAGCGAGTTGTAAAGTTGCAGCCCCTTATCAATGTGCTGATGCACAAGGTTGCTCATGATCCAGAGTTTTTAGAAAATTGCCTTAAAAAGTTAGTGTAGTTATATGGGTTTTAAATATTGTTCATATATTCTTCATGTCAGGATATATATTTATATTTTTAAAATGTCCTGTGAATTTTGAGTTATTAGGAAATAGTGATTCAACCCAGCCTCCTGTTTGGATAGTACTTTTTGTAACTATGTGGGTCATCGTACATATATTGACATAATGGACTCTCAGTAGAAATTGGACTCTTCACTTTATAAGAGTCCAGAAAAAAATAAACTAAAAACCAAACCTAAATATTCCTAGGCCTAGTTTAGCACATATATGTACTATATTAGGCCTTAGATAGCATGTATTAGGCCAAGAATGGTTAGGTTAGATTTTATTAGCAACATAAACACAAAACCTTTTCTGGTTTGTCCAAATTCTACTTTTTAATTGTTTATTATGTCCATATGTATGATGGTCCACATCATTACTGTAAGTATTGTCTAAACAGGAAGATGGAGTACAGTCATGATAAATGTTGTATTTATTTTTTTAAATTATTTGCAATGCTAATGAAATGGACCAGAGTCCTTCAGATAATGTTGCATGCATTGTTTAAAGTGCCATGTAGATATTGCAGCAATGGGAATATGTTGCACATGCACTTCAAGGATATGCATTAATATTCTTAGTATTGGGTAGAGATGATAGAAATAGCCAAATGGAGAAAATGATTGCTTAAGAACTGGAATACATAGTAGTAGTTGTAAGGTCAGTTAGATCACAGGTGAGGTTTAGGAGAATGACCTGAAACACAGGGGTCAGTGTAATCGACTCGCATCTGAATGCCCCAGGTTCAATTCCTGGACAGGATGATACATTGTGCACTTTCCTAGGGGAGATCTTGATAACCCTAACAGACTTCCTGCCCCCAATAATAGGAAGTACATGAGTGCTAGACCTAGGATAATGATGTACGAATTGCATAATATAAAAACTTGTGTGGAATTAATCATCGCAATCATTATGTATCTCGCTTTCATTTGGGTAAGGATGGGATGAAAGAGGATTATTGGCCAAGAAGTGTAAATGTATTTCTATGAGTATTAAATCTTAGTACTGTACTTCTGTTTTCTGTATTATTGCCATATGCTCTCATACTTTCATCAAATCTGATGATCCTCTCAGCCATCCTCTCCCAGTATGATTCGATATTTTATACTTCATCGCCATAATTATTGTTTCGTATTACATTGCCACACCATAGCACAGCCTCCTTAATCCTACAAGTCAGACTTTCACACTTCATCTTGACTAATTTCCTTCCCCCCCCCCATCCCTTTATTATATTGTGAACTGGCCTAAAAAATAACAGTAAACTTAAGCTGCTTATACGGTACTATAATCCTTAACAGACCTAGTCTTATTTAATTTGGATTTTGAAGTGTGTGCACCACAGTAAATAGGCTAATGCTGTATAGAACTTAGATGAGCTGATTAAGATACTGTACTAATCATTTAGCCAGGAAAGAAATATACTTGAGCTGTCCTTGTTAGGATAAAATTTCCCAGCTTTATGTAATCTTGATATCTGAACTGTTTCTTGATTTGATGGATGCTACCCTGAATAGAACCATCAGGGTTGACGACTTCACTGCCCGCCTTTGGAAGATATACACGATGGTGAGAGAGGAGGGGATAACGCAGGTAAGATAGTTTGCAGTGTTGGGTCCAGCCACTAACAATGCTATCAAACCCTTGTCATTCCATATCTTGCCACTTGATTGCCTTTTATCTTCTTATTTATATACCGTAGTTTTCTTTAGCAGGAATGCTAAAAACATATTAAAATGCAAACAGTGATACAAACTGGGGTATAGTCAGTTAGGTCCTTTGATGAGGAACTATTTACCTTGAAATATATGAATGCCATATTCAAATAAGAGTTTTAATGTGTAGTTAGAAAGTCTTATTCTGGCATTATGACCATTATAAATTAAAAATTTAATTGAGAAACAGAATACAGTACTTCAAGATTTTTATAGGAAACCTTACTGACATGATTGTTATATAATGTAATGTAATATACAGTAGTACGTTTTAATAGCTTTTATAATGCCAAAATCATGATATTCACTGCTGATGACTAAATTGAGTTAGGTAGGATTATGAGAGTGAAGAAAACCGTTAGATGGCTAAATAAAGATGATGGTAAGAAATTGATTGCTGAACAGTGAGGAGGAAATAGGAAGAGACCAGGTTGTGGTGATAGTAAGGAGAAAAGGAGTCCTTAGGAGGAGTTGGAGTTAGGGAGAATAGTTGTTAGGTTGTGGAGGGTGTAAGTAGTGTATTGTGGGGGTTGATAAGGAGAAGACTGAGAAGTACATTAAAGAAAACAAGAATCAAGCATATATTGTGTATTGTACTTATTGTGATGACATGAGCCAATTATTAACAATTGGTACAGTAACAATTAACAATTTAGTACTGTATGAGGTAAAGAATAAGACTAAAAGAAGAATCATGATGAAATGGTCAATAGAGGGAGTTTGAGAAAGAAGAATAGTGCAGTTGATAGTGCTACAGTATAATAAATTTTGAGGTTTGTAGGAAACCTAGTAGCAACTTGTCTGCTTACTATGTATGGAAAATTATATATAATAGTGTTTTTGCTGTGTAATAGATCATGTACACAAGTGTCAATGCATTAGGCTAGGAAACACAATATAAAACATGGAGGGATCATTAACATGTCACTGGCTTTCTACACCCTGTCGAGGTTACTAGAGATGGTGACCCTAAGGCAATTTTTACGAATTAATTCATTTGCTGTATACGTACTGTAAATGGTTATTATGGTTTTCCCAGTTAAGAGGCAAGATTTTAAAAACAAAAATTAAGATTATACACAAAATAATAAATTTCCTATTCAAATTTCAGTTTTTATTAACTGTGCTTATATGTGAATTGCAAGGGGTTGAAATTGCTAACATTGATAGCAAGATTGTTGTAATATTATCAATATTTTGTCCAAATTTTTCATAATTTTAGTTGCTGTTATTAGGTACAGTACTTTATTTACATTAATACTGTATATTGTAGTGCCGAGTCCGCAGACTTCGTCTGTATAATATAATATTAAGTAAATTAACTAAACTACTAAATTTACATTTAGGCCCATATAAAAGGCTGTATATGAACTTGAATATTAGTGATTTAGATACTGTATACTATATTGTATGTTTAAAACTTACTATAATTTAGATAATAATTTTCTTGATATATTAGAATAATACAAAATGAAGTGTATTGATAATATTTCCTTCATACTGTTGATCTTGAAATTGAGCTACAGTAACTTTCTTCAGTACCAGCCTTGTCAAGAGAGCAAGTGAACGAGCAGTGTTTTGAAGCACCTCACTAGCTTTTTTTTTTGTGGTGGGTTTGCTTGCACTTTTTTTTTTCTCCTCCAATTTGGGAATATCAGGATTCCTTTAGGGCATTCCTCTTTAATGCTTTTGCACCTAGGAGTTGAGTTTGGGCCTGCTGCGGTCGGACGTAATGCTGACCAAGTGCCATGCTGGGTGCTGCAAGCTGTGTGTGACCCCTCCTTATGTTTCGGGGCACCAGGTGGAGGTCAACACCATCGCCTCAGGATTTGGCCACATGGGACCAATTTCCGGGAGTATTAATAGGTACACAGACAACAAAAATGATGAACTTGGCCACATTAGAGAGGACTTTTGTATAATAAACAGCTGCCTGCAAATTAATTTGGAGGATGAAGTTGGAACAACTGAGATTTCAACTTGTAACAAAATTCCTCTTTAAACCGTGAGCTTGATGGATAGTTACCAAATAGTGCCAGTTAATTAAGCAATAATGCCACCTTATTTTTGTATTTGAAGTACATTATTTACTAGTAGTAAAACACAAACACATACAAGCCTGATGTTTGGAGTACAGTAGTTAACCATGATTTACTAAATGGGCTTAGAATTAATATTATTATTGTAGAGTACGGGCCTCGAGTTGTAACTTTTTATATTATTATATACAGTATATAAATGTATCGGTGAATGTGGGTGCATGTATTTGTGTGCATTGTGCATCCATACATATGCATATATGTGTATTGCAACAGTATATGTATTGATTTCAAGTAATTATTATCTTGTTTTCCTCATTTTTCCCAGGAGCTTCCCTTAAGAGGTGGGAATGTGTACACAGATCATGTGTATGTAAACATCAATTGTAATTGCTTACCTTATCTGATTTGCTTGATTTCTGTGGTCTTAATACAGCCTTAACAAGATGTATGTACCGTGGTAATTTTTGCTATGACAAATCTGAAAGCATTTCATATTACTTCATACAATCTTGCTGAATTTGTCTCTTCATTTTACTCCTCTCATCATGATCGAATACTAGAGCATGCAAAGCATGATAGAAATAAAGAGAAAATGGTACAATATGGTGTCATCCTGATTTTGCACATTTTAATTTTTGGCGTTATCTTATCCGCGTGCAAAGAAAAAATACTTAAAATTATTTTTTGCATTAAGTTTACCAGAGTTTACATGAGAATAAAAGTTATTGGTAGCAAGAGTAAACAAATTCAGTTACAGTCATAAATGTAAGTTTTGTGATAATTTCGTTAAATTGCTATTCAAAATCCAAAAGCTTGTAAAAAAAATTTTAGATGACCAAATGCTTTCTGGACAGAACTAGACCAAAAGTAATTGAAAAATTTGTCATCCAAAATGGTTTGTCTACCTGAAAATCTAATGGAAATTATTTTGAATGCAGTATATACATACTTTATTTTTTGTCACATTCAGGAAATTGGTAAATGTTCAACGTAAAGGACATTTAATATATTTTAATTGTAAAAAACTTTTTTAACATTTGACGTTTGGAGATGTTGAATGATTAAGATGTTTAGGAAAGATTCTGAATGGAAAGATTTTGAATGGAAGCTGTATAGTTGTGTAAATTTTTTTGGTAGTTTGCTAATTTCGAAGAAGCTCTCTTGGAGCAAGTTTGCATCTTGTGCAGCACATCATTTCAGGCATTTACTTTAGTTTTGTATAGATCTTTGATGCCTATCTGCTCCCCCGTTTTATAAAGGAAATTACAGCCTTCATCCCCCTAAAGATAATGAATATTTTTTTTTAGTATTACTGCTGCTATTATTTTTACTTCTTGACAGTTGCAGAATTATGTAGATCAGAAAATATTCTTTGACATTGTGAAAAGCTCACTTGTAAAATCGTTACACTTGCAACTCCCAAGTTCTCCCCCATTTGACCACATATGTTTGTGCTGTTTCAGGTTTGTTTTCTACAAGTTTAAGATGTGTTTAATTACCTAAGTGTAGTTACAGGATGAGCGCTACGCTTGTGGTGTTCCACCTTCCCAGTATTCATTATCATATAACGCTTTGAAACTGCGGACCATTTTGACCTCCATAACTTTCTCACTTAACTTGTTCCAGCCATCCTACCATTCTGTTTGCAAAAGAAAACTTTCTAATATTTTTTTGGCACTGTTGTTTCCTTAGCTTGAATCTATGACCTCTTGTTCTTGAGGTTGCTGGATTCAGGAATTCCTCTTTGTCAATTTGGTCAATTCCTGTTATTATTTTGTAAGTGGAGATCATATTGATACTTTTTCTTCTATCTTCTAGGTTTGGCATTTAACGCTTCCAGCCTTTCCTCGTAACTCTTGTTTTTCAAGAAGCCATTTAGTTGTATGTCTTTACACCTTTTCCAGTTTATTGATCTGTTTCTTGAGATGTGGACACCATACAACTGCTGCATACTCCAAATTTTGGTCTCACGAAGGTCATGAGTAATTCTGTAATATTTTACCATCCATGTACACTATTTAAAAGTGATTCTGAAGTTGGAAAGCATAGTGTAGGCTCCTCGCACAATGTTCTTTATGTGGTCATCAAGTGACAGTTTTTTATCTAAGACCACCCCAAGCTCTTCTTTCTTTTTTTTATCAGAGTTCTTTAAAACATATTCACATAATTTATTTGCGGCCTATTGTCTCCTATTCCACGTTCTATAATGTGGCATTTATGCACATTAAATTCCATCAGCCAAGTGCTGCTCAATAAATTTATTTTGCCCAGGTCCTACATAAATGCTGTGAAGACCTTGTATCATCGGTGTTGTTTGCTTTCCCTACCTGACTCTACCATGATTTTTTATCAAATGCAGTAGATTACTATATGTGTTGAAGTAACTGAATAACTTGAAAAAGTAGCGTTTCACAAGCAATGTACGTCACAAGTGTACTCTGTATTTGTTTAGAGGAGGGGTGGGTGAAACTGAGGAAGATTTGCTGCACGTGACCACTCTCAAACTCTGAATGACCTTTGGAATCCATTGTTTGACATTGGTCTAAACCCTGTAATAGTCTAACCAACTATTCCCCAACTCTGACCATCAAAGTTCCATCTGCTTCCCCATTGCCTGGCCATACCCCTGATACTTAGGTTTGTGGATCTTTGGCAACTTAACGATGTCATTAACAACTGTACTATATTTCTTGAAAGAAACAAAAACTGCTGCAAATTATTTGTTAAGCAAAAGCACACATTACATTCAATGTTTTTTTTTGTTGTTTTATTATTAAGAGTAAAGAAGTTGATGTTTGGATAAAATATTGTTAACCAATAATATTTTTCCAATCAA